GCCTAGCTCCTCTTCTAAGAAAAAGGGAAAAAAGAGGTTGGTGGCTTGAAACTACCATTGACTACAGCAACCTCATTCAAAAATCCTGTTTTTTAAAAGGCATGTCTGTAAGAAAATAAACCAACGTGGCAACTGGAAAAATGGGAGGGAGGGAGGGAAGACAAAAGAGAAAAAAGGAGGCTGGTGCGGTGACACAACCAATGATAACAGCATCCTTGCTCAAAAATCTTGATGACTGTAAGGAAATAAACTGATGTGGCAACTGGGAAAAGGCAGAGGGAGGAAAGATATGCAGAAGCCCTGTGCTCAACGTGGTTCTCATGCTAGCAGATTGACTGCTAAGAAAAGCAGGAATAAGTCATCATGTGTCCAGAAAGCCTGTGTGTAAATGTAATAAAATGTCTATTTATAGAGTATAAAAGAAAAAAAGGGACCAGAATCTATACCTCGTGTAATTGCTTATTCCAAAGGGTCATTTTTGGCTCCCCCAAAATGAAATGGTTACAGGTGGGGGTTTGGGGACAGAAAGTGACAAAAGCAGTGATAAAAGACCAGGTGAAGCATGCTTGACTTCCTGTGGAGGCTCTTCCTTCATGAGGAGGCAGGGAGCTGTTACCGAGACTTCCACTAGAGAGATAATTTTGGTGCACAAGGTCCTGGAATGGTGAAACCAGTTTTGTCCAGGTTGACATACAGGTAAAGCAACTTCCATTTCCCAGCAGAGAGAGGAGACAGTTCTGCATTAGTCAGCTTACTTCAATGGTGCAGGTTGACTGGGAGAATCTCTTATGGAATGTAATTAACGAACTCTGCATTTGAAAGCTTGAAACATAATTAGGGCAATGAGAGACTTGTTCAGAGCTGCAGTTACCCTGCAAGAAAGGTCTACACAATAGCAAGGTGGCACAACTGGAAAGTGGTATTATCTGTGCACCAAGCATTTATATAATAATTTGTTTGGTAATTACTTGCCTTATGATTGCACCAAACAACTTCAGGGAAGACCCTTGGACCTTTCAAGTTAGTTAGTTAGTACGTAAACACTTAACAAAGAGAACTGAAGTCATAGCCAGAACAAGACAGGGCAAGTGGAGAAATCAGCAAACAGGCTGTGGTGTGTCAGAAGATGCCTTATTAGCTAATGAAGGCATGTTGCATAATAGATGCATATGCTCCAGCTGTTGCTATAGACCAGGAATAGTTTTTGTTTTCTGATATCTATCCTGAAGGAGTCACTATTCCTACTTGGATATAGCAAGAGATTTTTGGGGATCCTTTTAAAATATTTGTGGCTGCATTTCTTTTAGTTTCAGCCCTGGCTAGTCATTGTCTAGAACTTAGATTGCGTTGTTAGTGCTACATGCAAGCATTTCCCTCAGCGGTATCATCAGGCCAGTGCCCATGTAGTGCCCAGACTGCAGTTTTATAGGCTTGGTTGATTTTGAAAGACACCCTTTTTGCTTTGTAATCGGTGCAGGACAGGCTATTCTAGGACACAGTGTACAGTAGGCTGAAAAAACCCTTCTACACACATTTTGGGTTGGGCTGCTCCTACAGTCTCTATTTTCATCTGTGAAACAACAGCAGTTTAAATAGAAAGGTAATTGCATTGATTGAAATTATGATGCAAACTATGCTGCCTATGGATTGTAGAAGGTGTATGAAGACAAAGAAAATGAAATGCAAAAGCCACATCCATTTTTGGAACAATTCTCTGACAGAATGAAAATTTTACAGACGAATTTGTGACACCGTTTCCCCTATAGGATACATTTTGTGTAAAAACTGGCAAAAGTTAAACTGACAGCATATGCATTTTTGTTGACATTGGATCTCCCCCCACCCAAATATCTTTCTCCTTGACTGATTATACAGTGAGGTGAGGTTGGGCTATAGATTTTGGAGGGCACCAAGTACTGTCAGCTTGCGCTTCCTTTATCCTGAAGCCTCTTTAAAGACAACACAACAAGCGGCACATGGCCAGTAGGCGCTTCCTGAATTCTCACGTTTCTTCTGGGGGTGGGGGTGGCGTGGGGGGGAGAGGCATTGAGGGGATAGTTAGAGTTGGCTGCTCAGAGTGGGTGGTAGCCTCAGACAGCCCCCCCCCTGCCTTTGTCCTTCTTTTCTTCAGGAAATGGTTTTCACCAATGACATTCCAGCAGGGTAGCTGTTTCAGTCTGTTGCTGTGAACACCAGAAAGAGATTCGTGGCATTGTAAAGACTAAGCTGTGGCATTAAACAATAGACATTTGAAAACTGTGTGTCATGTAAGCAATTACTATAAGGGGGCAGTCTTTTTAAAACATGCTCAACTTTTAAGAGCCTTTTACACATCATGCAAAGTGAGATGGTAGAGCTGAGGTGTCAAACATATGGCCCATGGGCCGCATCAGGCCCATCCAGGGGTCTTACCCAGCCTGCAAGCAACCTCCTTCCTCCTCCTCCCTGCTGATGCTCTGCTCCACAACCGCTGAGCTCCCAGCAATTTTCCTCCCCAACATCAGCTTCTCTGCTTCCTTTTCTTCTTTCAGTCATCACATCTCTCTCCCTTTTCCCCGTCGCTGGCTGCCTTCCCAGCTCAGCTTCTGACCCAAAGCACGGGCGGCCAATTGGGCAAAGGCTAGGAGGAGAGGGGCCCAAGGGCGGGGAGGCAGGGGACACCCTGGAGCTGTGGAGCTGGTGGCAGTGGGCTGCGGGATCCTGAGTGCAAGAGGACGGGATTGGGTGCCTGAGTCTTCGTTCCTCTTTGCCCTGCTTCTCTCAGGGAAGCTCTTCGGATGCTGGGAGCCACCACTTTGTGGGCACCCCTGCTGCAGTAATGCCCGTTGGTCTCTGTGTGGGAAGCCAATCCATGTCCCAGGTGGCTGCTGGCTCAGGCCTGCTGCCGCCGCTGTACATTCACTAGCTCAAGCTTTCCACTCCAGCCCATTTGGGTGTGTTTTCTCACTTTGCCCTCTCCTCATTTGACTTCAGGCTGAAGGTAAGAGTTGGTGGCAACTATGCCAACTGCTTTGGGGGCTCCCTTTATGGGCTTTGCCTCTTTGCTTGTCCCCTTTCCCCACCCAGTTTGGACCAGCATGTCTGTGAGGAGCGGTCTCCCATGCAGCATCCCAAGTTGGACCAAATCTCTGGAGGGGGGGGGGGAGAAGGGAAAGTGCCGTCTTGCTGAGCAACGTGATAAATGCTGACTGGGTGCATTGTGCAGAGGTGCTACCGCCTCCTTCCCAAAAGGGGACTTCAAGGCTTGGCCTTTGGCCCGACCAAGCATGGCTTCTTGTGTTCTATCCCAGTCTGCTGCAGCAGTGAAAAAAGGTAGGGTTGATTAGGAAAGGGATTGAGAATGAAGCAGCTGATATTGTAATGCCCCTCTACAGATCTGTGGGGTGGCCTTATTTGGAATATTGTGTAGACTCAGAGGAACTGATTGGCCACTGTGTGAGACGGGATGCTGGACTTGATGGACCACTGGTCTGATCCAGCAGGGCTCTGCTTATGCTCTTTTGTTTAAAGCGTGTTTGTATTTTTATTTTAAAGATATTGCTAATTGGGTTTGCCTGTGTTTGGTCCAACAAAGTGACATTTATGTCAGATCCAGATCTCGTAATAAATGAGTTTGACACCCCTGTGGTAGAGTGAGTGAGGTGGGAAAATGCCATGATGTGAACCGTGTTTGTCAAAATATGGAGGGATCTTGGTTACACAGAGCTTTTCGTTTGTTAGAACAAAGTTTGAATCCAGTGGTACCTTTAAGACTAACGAAGTTTTATTCAAGGTATAAGCTTTTGTGTGCAAGCACACTTCTTCAGATGCAGTGAAACAAAATTACCTCAACCATTACATATAGGAAGGGGAGGAGGTTAGTTGCCAGGAAGGGCCAGTTTAGAGCGAAGACAGAGACAGAAACAAAACTGGAAATTACCAGTCCATACCTATAGGTAGAGGAGCTGCGGTGGCTCAAGTGGTTAAGACGCTGAACTGCAGGCTGTGAAAGGTCGGTAGTTCAGGAGTTCGAGACCCAGGTGCCGCAAGACGGAGTGAGCTCCCGTCTCTAGTTCCAGCTCCTGCCAACCTAGCAGTTCGAAAGCAAGACATTGCAAGTAGATAAATAGGTACCACTTCGGTGGGAAGGTAACAGCGTTCCGTGCGCCTTGGTGTTTAGTCATGCCGGCCACATGACTACGGAAATGTCTTTGGACAGCGCTGGCTCTTCGGCTTTGAAACGGAGATGAGCACCGCAACCCTAGAGTCGGATTCGACTGGCTTTTGAGCAAGGGAACCTTTACCTTTACCTATAGGTAGAGGGTGTTGTAAAAGATGTTCTTCATTGGTCTATTCCTGTGTTTTTTAAAAAAAATCTTGATTTTTCTGTTCATGTTTTAGAATATTTTATCCTGCTTTTTTTTGCCCACAGTGGGGACATGGAGCCGCTGCTGCTTACAACATGAAGTAAATGGTTAAAAAAATCAGTTTACAAAAAACATCCCAGGAAGTCCTCCCACTGCAGACTTCAAACAGGAAGGAAGCCAAGAGGACATTCCAAGCGGGTGGTGAGGGTTCCACTGACATGGCACACGTCAGACACTAGGCCAGGGCCCAAGAGGCTTTGTCTCCTGCCTCTCTGGCCACACCAGAGCTTTAAATTACCTGCTACAAGGGAGGGACAAGCGCACAGTGCAGCTCTGACTCAGCCGGCTTGGAAGTTCTCAGTTCCCTCCAAGTTTCTTAGAATTCCTTGAAGTTTCCAGATGAAGCTACTCTAATTAATGCCTTGAAGATCAGATAGTAACAGGCATTTCTCCATTGCAGTAGTCGTACATTTGGCAAAGTTCTCAGTAGAATATTTTTGTGACACATGTGCACCCTTCCTTTTGCAAAATTCCAACGTCAGTTTCACTTTAGAGGAAATATTTGTGAAATCACCACCCAAAGAAGGCTAAGTTAGAGCTGTAGGTATGGAGTGCTTAATAGACAATAAGGATTTCCCTTTGTTCCTCTTGCAGTTTCCAACTCTGCTAAATGGTCACATCCCAGTGCCAATTCCCAGCTTGGATGGGGCCTCTTCGCCAGTGCTTCTTTCTCCAAATGCTCATAAATCCTGATGTCTCAGCAATCAAAGGACTCGCTAACAAACTGGATTTAACACAGCCATTCTGATGGGTTTCATTTTTTTCTGGTGACAGAGGACACAATGAAAACCCTCTTTTACTATGGTTTGCACTTTTCATTACATGGATGATCTACTTTTAATGTGTTTATTTAGCATTTTTTAAACAGTGGGTTTTTTGTATAAGAATCTGTTGCGCATTAAAATGAGTTATAATTTTTTATATCCTAGCTCTAAGTGTTGAACACTGTTAATGAAGTACTTTCTTAATAGAGCAAAAACAGTATCTAAAGGATGTGAAACTTTTAAATCTTGTATTTCTGCATATTATGCATTGTGCTTTTGTAACTATAACCGGCTGTGCCTTCTTTTGCATAATGTTATATAAATGATTTTTTATATTTTCCAGTATTAAGATAAAGGTTGAAAAAGGAACCAAGTATTGGACAGCCCCCCCGCCCCCCCATTTCAGTATTTTCCCTGCAGTATTCCCCCTGTATGGTGCAGTGTATTCATGTAACTTTGAATTAAGTACTTTCTAATTATGTAAAGAAGTTTTTTTAATTTCCTTGCTGAATTGAGAGGTCATAAATGTTTTGGCTAGGAAGTATGCTTAAGAATAGGACACTATTGAGATATAGGTGCTTAAATTCTTTGCTGTAAGAAAAGGAAAATGGCCTTAAAATATTTAGTCTTACAATAAGATGCTGTAACCTTGCTCAGTGCCACTCATTTTCTGTATTAATCATATTGTCAGAAAAATCCTTTAATCTTGGTTTTCTTTTTCCAGATTTCTTCCCCCAAGTGAGTCTTAGGGATAAACAGCAAGTGGCTCTAGTTTTGTTTGGCCATAGCTGCTTTTTAGAATCTTAGGCTGTATTAAGAAAATGTCTCTTTCTGTTATGAGTGCAAGAAACAAGTACCGTAGCCATGACGTGAACCTGTAAGTAACCAGGAAGCAGATACTGCTCTACCCAGAATGCGTTCAGGAGTCATTCTTCCCTGTACTAACCAGAAATTGAGCATTCTCATTTGACAATACCAGGCAGTGGAAAAGAGTGTGTGACACAATTAATGGGTGACATGAGCAAGGGTTCAGCCTGTGTGCCAAACAGCATGCTGGATGCTATATGCAGAGCTCCTTTGTTGCACCCCAAAAGCAGAGAGGTAGTAGGCTAGAAGTGAGCAGGGCCCTACAGAGCAATAAAATTTGGATGATTGTAAACTCTCTCACAGCTGCCCACATGCCCTGTTAGGACCCTGCTCACAAAGCATCTTTTAGGACTTGTCGTTACAGAGGAATTATTTTTGTCCATTGCAATAATAAACATGTAAATCAACCCACAAACCATTGATACTGCATACTGAAACTTATAAAGAAGGTTAAGTCCCTCTGTTTTGTGCAAAAAAACATAACCATCATCGATACAACATATGTAATGTGTCTGACCAAGTACAACCCCTGCGCCATCCCTTGACACGTAATGTCTATCTGCTGCAATCTGGGAGATAGAACACATTCACAGCTAGGCTAACTATAGACAATACTTAGATTAAATTAAATATCTTCTTTTGTCACATTCCCAAAGTTCATTTGAGAATTCATGTAAGACTGCAGTTTCGCCTAATTTAATATTGCAGTCTAGTTCTTTTATGCCCATTACAGTTATCTGACCTTGGTAGGAATGATAAACCTTTGAGTCTTTAGGATTATGAAACTGAAACTGGATTTTTAAAAGAAGTACAAAAGACTCGATAAAAGCTGCTACCTTCCTTCCCAATTGTTCTGAAATGAAATCCCCCAATTTTTAATTTCCAGTACCATGATTTCTAGTCTGCCTTTCATTGCAAGCAACCAGTCATTCTAATCCTGGAGGATGAAGGAGTATGCTAAAAGAACCGGGAGATCCTGAGGCATTAATGCACAAGGACCAAATATACTTTCTGTGCTTTTCTGTGAAATAGGAATTACTTAAAATTAGTAAAGCCCCTGCAATTACAGCAAGAAAACAGGGGAGAGGGAGAAGGACAGAATGAATAATTTGTCTCAGTGCTTTTAGCATATCAGGAACAGCCTTGGCAACAGAAGGGTTTCTTTCTGTCTGCTAAAACAAAGGAAAATCTAGAATTTATCAATTATTGTGTAGCAATGAAAATTTTATAGCAAATACAACAAGTGCCGATCTGAGCTAACTCATGCACATTGAATACCAAAGGACAGAATGTTAACTGTGGCAGATTGCAACATTAAACAATATTTGTGCAAAAATCTATAGTCTGTAGGATGGTTTGGGGGAGGCATTCATTACACACAGTCATGCTGAAAGTGCTGGACTTTCCCTTTATGTCTTTTTACATTAATATTAAAAAAGTATTAATACATTAATTGCATTAATGAACTTCAGCTAAGTTTCTTCCAATTTATACTGACCAAGATGAATTAAATCATCTGGGCTGTGTTTCATCTTTCCATTTTCAAGGGTCATTGAAATTTTTCACAAGATTTGCACTGAAGTAAACATCACATCAAAAGCAGCCTTAAGGCTAGCTTGCAGAAGCATCCTGGAGATTCCTTTCTTTCTTTGAAAACAGCAAAAACAGCTCTCACACACCTATCGTTTCATAATGTCATGAGCACAATGTAAGGTTTTTTAGGGTCAAGAACGAACATCATGAAATAAGGGACATACTAGTGATCTTACCTCTGATACATTTTCCTTAGACACCAGGAGACACACTACTCAGCCTATTGCCCTTAATGAATGTTTGGTGCCTTTTCCTAGTGCCCCAAAATACCACACCTAATCCATTGTCCTTGGCCAACCCTCGCTTATGCGACTGAGGGCTCCCATACTGAACTGCATACAGTTCTTCAATAAATTAAAAAAATGCACAACATAATCCACATAATACCTTTATTTTGGACCAACCAGATGATATAAATTTGTGTAATGTGGTTGTTCCTGATAAAATTATATGGATTGTGTTCTAGGTTTTTGGATTTTTCTTTTGGAACAGGATGGCTGATTTCAATAAGTGAAGCTACTAAAGCAGTGAAATGACTACCCAAACTCCCATTGTATGACAGAATTTTTACCAGCAGCAATTTTTTATAAGCATAGTGCCTCGAATGATGGACTGAGCAAGGTATTAACAGCCCAAAGCATCCATTTGGCCACCTATAAAATGTCCTTCAGAACTGAGAAGTCCTTTAATTTTCTTAATTCATTCTCTGCATTTGTAAACATTGGAATATCCAAGTTATTTACTTAACCTACCTCACAGGGCTGTTGTGAGGATCAGTGATATTTGTACAATGCTATAGAAAAAAAATTAAAAGACTGCTTAAGTGGCACGTAGCATCATTAAAGTAAAAACTGTCCTAGCAATAGATGAGAGACCATAAAGCATCTCTTGCAGTTAAACAATGTTGGAGATCTATCACTTGGGGTTTGGGTTTGTTTTTTGCTTCATGTTATAATAACCCCTTGTTTCTTCTCTAGTGGTAATGAACATTTTTGTTTCTATATCCATTATGTTTTAGTAGTTCAGCAGATTTCTAGAAATTTCCCAGAAATCCTATTTTTATACTTTATGTAAAAAATGAATGACTAAGCTGTTAAAGAACCAATTTTTTTGATTCTAAGTTGTAATCAAGCTTTCCTGGAAGATGTGTGCAGGATGCTCAGTATTGTCATTAGGAAGAATGGTCATGTTCCAGAAGGTACTCAGAGAAAAGGGGCATATGCAACTGCTATGGTACACTAGACAGAAAGAATCTCAGCTTTCACTATAAAAGCATTCAGTCCCTTAAAGCTGCTAACTTAAATATGAAAATGGAAACATAATCAGAAAGAAAAATGACAAAATTCAGAATTTTGGCTGTTTTCCAGCCCATCATGGTGTTCACACATCAGTGTTTTTAAGCTTCCTCAAGAACATAAAGTAGTCTGATGTCTAATATGTTAACAGAAGTGGAACAGAAATTAATGGCAGCTTGTGGCATAGTTCCAATGGGTTTGCCTGTGCTGAGAAGTTAGCCCACCCTAGTGTATAGTTTTGTAGTTTATAGTGAAAAGCAATAAAAAATTCTTTAAAAAAACAAAAGAAGAAGTAGTTAGCCCACCCTGCCTTTGCATCTGGTAGCTTCTGTCCCTGCTCTTGGTAACAGTGCAATATGTTTTGGATGTTAAAAAAGATGGAATATGCTCTATTATTACTGGTATGAAATAACAAGACACTTAACAGGCTACATTGAAGGCAAGAGTAGTGGAATACTTTTATTTGGACGAATGCAAATGCCACAAAGTAGTACTGAGCAAGCTTTTGAGGTACCAGAAACTCCAGTCTAGATGTTCAGTAAAATATAAATAAGGGGAAAGGAAGAGAGCATTTTGGGGCATGAATTACATGGAATTAAACCTTGTTTTTAAAAAAGCCTCTTATTCCCAAAAGAAGCATCTCCCTTGATCCTGGGAACTGCGAGTGCAGCAAAAGGCTAGGACTCCTTCCATGAGGGATTGGAATGCAGTAATGCATGTTTGGCAGGTGTCTGCCCCAGATGCAGCCACCTTCAGAGCCTGCTGTGCAAACAGATGTGCCACATGTACAAACCAGGTTCCTGCACAGAGACTTTGGTCCCTTGACCAAAATGCTGATCTACAATTCAACAGAAGAATGTTTGTTCACCATAAAACATCCAAACACAATGAAGGATTTCCATATAATATTTATACTTTCGGAAGTACAATTTTTAATACAGGTCCATCAGTTAGAAACAACAGCAGTTTGTTAGCTCTACAAGGGCTTCTTTTAACGTAACACCAGCTTACAAATGCTGAAAAGCAGCAGTGGTCCAAAAAGTCACCATTAGGTGTGAATTTGTCTCTTTCCAGAAAATAAAAATGTTCCCAAATTCAATTTCCTAGGATCATGAAATATTAATAAAACATCCCCAAACATGCCACAATCACTATTCACAAATAAAGTTAAAATGAAACATACAATTTGTTTCATTTAATACTGTTAAATAACAATAATAAAAACTACAAGATTTCCTGAACAGAAATGGTAGGACCCCTGAATATTTTACAGTGAACATCAGGAAAAAAATTAAGTTATCTATGACTATTTTCATGATATACCAGCCAAAGATTTACATAACCATTTCAAAATATACCAATAAAGATTTACAGTCTCTTGAAGATGCACTAAACAAATAGGTTCAGGAAGGTGAACACAAATGCTTAAAAATACTGTTACTATCACCATAAGGTACTTATGATACTCACTGAGATGCATAAGCTTAGTAGTAACATGGACTAGCTCCAAGGAACAGGTAACATCTATAAGTTCTCTCTCTAAGTTCTCATGCTTCACAAAGTCTGCAGTACAGAGTGATGTCTTCTCTAGTATGGACTTGTAGTCTTCCAGTGGATTTCCAGTGAATATGTAGTCACAGAACAGCTATGAAAGCATCGGGTTAGGGTTAGAAGAAGGAACAGGACGGGACTAAGAAGTCAGGCTCCCAAATGCTGATATTCAGTCAGACATCAAAAAGAATACCAAGTTTCCAAAACAATGCAACAGAGAATGTATAGAATTCCCCCTCCCCCACTATATAGGTTAGAAAAGGAAGTAAGGGAAGGCAACTGCATCTGGAGTCACATGCACACATTTCTTCCACGAGAGCCAAGCCCATCTTCACTTAAGAGACAAGAAACCCAACAGCATGTAACAAAGCAACTATTTCTCACTCATTCAAATCCATCTCTGTACTAAGTGCTTTTAAAATGAAGACTGCAGTTTTTCAGTTACTTGACATCTAATATTAAAGAAGAAACTTAGGGCCACAAACTTTAGAGTGTTAAAGACAGTTTGCCTATTTAACAGTCAAGAAAGCTATGTTTACATTCCAGGAAACGTTGCAGTAAAAAAAAAGAGGGAGGGAGGGAGGGAGGGAGGGGGAGAGAGAGAGAGAGAGAGAGAGAGAGAGAGAGAGAGAGAGAATGAACTGCAGCAATAGTTCATGAAGAGAAACTGATGCATTCACAGATTATATAAAGCCATTGCAACTTCTGCAGGCATTTCAACTGTTGGTTACTATACAGACAGTAGTTATTTAGCAGCAATGATTCCGCAATAAATAATGCACTGTTTTTCTCAGTCCTGCACAAAAATGGCAGCTACTGTTACATTAACAGCTGTAACCTACTGGCTCTAATGGCAGAGGAGACCTTAAAACCGACTGTACAAAAATTTGTCACACTGTGACAACAAATATAAAAAACGTTAACCAGCAGGTCTGAAATAAAAAGACTGCTTTGTGAGGAGGACAGTGTAGACATACAGATTTCAAGTCCACCAAGAGAAGAACTGTCTTCAGACTGGAGTCCCCTGATGGAGGTTTAAGACAGCCCTGGGCTTGAAACTGTGCTGCCCGCCTCAGAAAAGCATGCTTTGCCTTCTGTTCTTCCCATGTCCTAAAAAAAGAAGAAGGAAAGTATGAGTTTTGTTAAGGGACATTACAAGATACAGTCCTTGCTTGTGCATGCATCGCAACAGATAGGGATAGTGAACTTTGCCTGTTGTGGCATGCGGCACTTGTATACCAATCTGTGGAAATGAACCCAGTGACACAGTGCAATACGCAACCAATGCGTTTTCTTCAGACTAATCCCTGGTTTCCCTTCAAGCAAAAATACCACGCTTGAAACCTGCTTAAAAAAACATGTCTGAGGAATCTAAGTAATTCCAAGTATTCATCCACCAGGTGTCAGCAGTTCAACCCTTCAACTAGTACAAGCCTAAAAGAAGGGACAATCTTAGAAGCTTACATACCTGTCTCTGGATAAGTGGAATTGCGAAAGCCGGGATCTTTCTGCAGCTGAATCTCTTTCAGAGTGAATATTGACACACCTGAAACAATACAAGGAGTGGGTTTTACCTAAACCTGCAGTAAAGCAATATGACCAATACCTCAAACAAGCCTGGATTATGTTTGGGCACAGTTTCAGCTCACCAACCTTCAAAATCTAAATATAAAAATATTCCAAATTCAACATCTCAAATTTACAGCCCTCTCATTTTAAAAGATGCAAGAAAGACTACAGTTGATACTTTCAAATAAATCAGTTTCTAAACCTTGGAAGCTTTTATTTTAGAGCAGTAACTATTAACCAGCAAGACAGTCTATCACAGAAGGAGCTCTCTTGGTAATTTACAAGTGGATTGTGTGCACTGTGATCAGTAACTGAAATCTTGAGCTGGGAGAAGAAAAGAGGAAGGAGCCCTGATCCAACAGATCCTACCTCCATATGCCCCACACATTTTTACCCTATCTCCTACAAGTACAAAAGGGTTCCAAGTGTTACATCAGCAGCCACCCTATGAAAGACAGTGAGGTGCAGCAGTTAGAGCTTCAAAGTAGGGTCTGCAAGACCCAGGTTCAGATCCCCATCTTGCAGTGGAAGCTGACTGCGTGATTTTGGACCAGTCACATATTTCAGCCTAACCAACCTCACAGGGTTGTTGTGCAGATAAAAAGGAGGAGGGAATAATGAAAGCTGCTTTGGTCCCCACTGTGGAGAAAAACTGTAATTTTCCTAGGTAGAGGCTGGGGGGTGGAGATGGAAAGCAGAAGACAGAGAGGCAGATAAAGGTAGGTTGGCTGTTGGGTGGGAACTCCAGGTTGGGAAAATCCTGGACATTTGAGGGGTGGAGCCTGGAGGGGATGGGATTTGAGGAGGGGAGGAACTTTGGACTGGTGTAATGTCATAGACTCCACCCTCCAGCCATTTCCTCCAAGAGAACCACCATTGCCAGCCTCCAGGTGAGGACTGGAGATCACCCAGAATTACAACTGTTGTCCAGGAGACAGAGATCAGTTCCCCTGGATAAAATGGCTGTTTTGGAGGGTTGAGTCTATGGCATCATACCCTGCTGAGGCTCACTGTCCCAAGGCTCCACCCCCAAATCTCCAGGAATTTCCCAACCTGGAGCTGGCAGCCCTAAGGTGAATTGATCTCTGTAGCTGGGAGATCCATTGTGATTCCCAGAGCGCTGCCACCACTGCTGCTGCTGCTCTGTGGAGTGGGGGAGGAAGCAGGCAGGAGGCTGGGAGAGTGATGGGGGCAGAAAAAAAGACTGATGGGGTGGGGGCAGAAAGAGAGAGAAAAAGTGATGAAGTGGGGAGGCAGAAAAACAAAGAGAAAGATGACAGGTCAGAAAGAGAGAGGAAGTCACATGCATGGAGGAGAAATAGAGAGTAAGAAAAGGGGGGCAGAGGGGAGAAATAGTGAGAGAGGTCGGGGGTGAAGAGAAGCAAAGGTGTGACGAATGAGATAACCATCCCGCAAGTTTCTTGCGGGTCTCCACTTGTCAATTCTAAACTAGGGGTGTGCACTCGGTATATAAGGAGCCGAATAAATACCTTATTGGTATGTTTTGGGTGTTTATATAGTCAAATACAGATCTGAGATCTGTATTTGGCTACCAAAGTAGCTGCCCTCAAATAAAAGCTGATATTATTCAGCTTTTATTCGGGCTCCGCTACTGCTGGAGTCCTGCAGCTCCTGCCACATAACTCCTTGGTGAAGGGAAGGTATTTAAACTTTAAATACCTCCCCTTCCCTTCCCTCTCAGGCTCATGCTGCCTTTAAATACCTTCCCTTCGCTGGGGAGTCATGCTGCAGAGGCAGCATAAGCCCTAGAGGGAAGGGGATGTATTTAAAGTTAAAATACCTTCCCTTCACTGGGGAGACACCAGCCAACCTGCCTTGGAAGCCTGCTGAGAAAGGGATGGGGAGGCATGCAAATATGCCTCCCTGATCTTTCTTCCCTGCCACAGCACTAGATCCCATGGGTGTGAAGCACAGAGACCACGTCGAAGATCTTCAGTTCACCCAGATGCCTTCATTCTGACATCATGGTGAATGTGGTATTTGATTTAAGCCTTCACAAGCCAGGAAGCTGTCAGTAGCCCTCCACGCCTGAGAGCAAGAGGAGTAAGGGCATCATAAAACATAACAACTGGCTGTCGGACATGACATCTGCACATGAGCACTGGCTCTTCTCTGCACAGGAAATGCATACCCTGAAGGAAGGTGACTTCTAGAGCCCCCAACTGAATGCTATATATTGGCAGAGATCAGTCCAAAGAGTAGATTCAGGTAGGTATCCATGTTAGTCTGAAGCGACAGAACAAAGTTTGAGTCCAGTAGCATCTTTAAGACCAACAAAGTTTAATTCTGGATATAAGCTTTCACGTGCATGCTTTGTTGGTCTTAACAGTGCCACTGGACTCAAAGTGAGTCTTAAGAGTAGCAAGAGTTGCTGAATCAAAGCCTCAACATAATTGGGCCATGAGTTTCTCACAAGGTATTTCTGTTCCCACCAAATCATTTTCATGTATTGCTCTGGAATGGCTATTTTTCAAGAAACAAGAAAGCAAAACTGGGGCCAATGTAGAACCAATAATACACTCTAAAACATAAGTAATATGCTGAATACAATTGCTTTATACTAGATAGTCACTATTAAGTGTACAAAATTTCCCCAAACATTTACAATAACAAGATAATACAATAGAATGTCAGTAGCTGCCAACAGCCCCAAGATATCAGTGGAAATCCTAAACAGTTACTGTTGGCAGTCAAAAGAGTATAAGGCTTATTGAGCTAAAAGCTACTAGAGCTTGACGAAGCAGCCGGCTTGTGCTTGGTTTCGTGTAATGACTTCCTCATAAGCAGCTTAACTGATGTTGTATACAAGTTTTCTTAATATGTGTAATCTCCTGGTTTTTAAGATACTTCTCTAGAGTTGCTTAAAAACCAGGAGATTACACATATTAAGAAAACTTGTATACAAACCAAGCACAAGCCGGCTGCTTCGTCAAGCTCTAGTAGCTTTTAGCTCAATAAGCCTTATACTCTTTTGACTGCCAACAGTAACTGTTTAGGATTTCCACTGATATCTTGGGGCTGTTGGCAGCTACTGACATTCTATTGTATTATCTTGTTATTGTAAATGTTTGGGGAAATTTTGTACACTTAATAGTGACTATCTAGTATAAAGCAATTGTATTCAGCATATTACTTATGTTTTAGAGTGTATTATTGGTTCTACATTGGCCCCAGTTTTGCTTTCTTTGTTGTGTGATTACTGGGAGGTCTTTTTTGTTTGGATTTGGCTATTTTTCAACAAATGCTTTGAAAAAATGGTGGTGATGGAAAGTACTGTCAAGTTGCAGCTGATTTATGTTGACCCTGTAGGGTTTGCAAGGCAGGAGATGTTCAGAGGTGGTTTGCTATTGCCTGCCCTGCATAGCAAACCTGAACTTCTTTGCTGGTCTCCCATCCAAATACTACCGTGTTTCCCCGAAAATAAGACACTGTCTTATATTTATTTTTTCTCAAGAAGACACACTAGGGCTTATACCACAAATGCATAGAAATCCTGCTAGGGCTTATTTTGGGGGTAGGTCTTATTTTCGGGGAAACGGTAACCAGGGCCAAATCTGCTTAGCTTAAGAGATCTGATGAGATCAGCCTAGCCTGGGTCATCCAGGTCAAGGCAACCCCCCCAAACAACCCCCCCAACCCACTACCATTTACAATTTCTATGTTTATGATGCTTTCAATATTTCTTAATCTTTGCGTTCCAAATTTAATGCACATTGAGATAACACAGGATTCTTGCAACAGGTAGAATGGCACATGCCTGACGTCCGCTCCCCCTGCACCAGACCCATTCACAGCAAGTCTTTCAATAATGGCAGCATAGTGGAATGCCTGGTTTTCTGACAGTCAGCAAAGCAAGATGACTTGTGATGCTGTCAAATGCCAAATGTTCCCAGATGCAACAAGGCAACTGCAACTTGTAGAGAGTCAGAGCAAAAGTGTCACATGGCTGCATCTAGAAATCTGTGCTGGACTGAAAAGCTGCAGCCCCGCCACCCCCCCAAGTAGCAGCTGCCAGATAGAGGCAAATGCAGAAGAAGGAAAATCATGGCAGGCATCATACAAGTGAGCTAATCACAAATTAAGAAAGAGGAGAAAACTAGTATCATCTACCTCAATCCAGAAGGAGAAGGGAACAAACAGCCTGGTTGACACCAGCAAAGAGAGAATTCCACATGTGGGACAAAATTCCCTCCTGGATTCTGGTAGGGGGCCAAGAGCTGTTAATTTATCTCCCACGAGACTTGTAGGGACATTTTGGGGGTTAGGAAGAAATCAGAAGGAACAACCCAGTGGAATGAGGAAGGACACCCCCTCACTCAATCCCAGGCCCAATGAATGCTGCCTGACACAGGACAATGCTTACTTTCTGGTAGAGAATGTATCCTCGTTCCAAGGCTTCTAAAATACGCGTGCTTCATAGCCTCTTCTGCTGAAATTCTGTTTTTTGATTCATACTGTTAAACCAAAGGGGGAAAACATTTCAAATATTTTAACCATACTCAGCAGCCAAGCGCATTCTTTACATGAATCCAACCCTAAATTCAATTCCTAGCATTTCTGACTTTGATGATGTTTGGGTTTCAGGGCTGGTAAAGACCATGCTTGAGAGTAGATGCATGAAAAGGCTGTCTTCTCTTTTATGCCTGTCTTGAATGTGCCTTTCGACATGACATGAACCCTAAAAGGTGCAAGACTTCTTTACAGGTCAACTATTCTGCTGCTTAAATGTAAAATACTTTTCCCTATGTGCCAACTTCATTTGGCCTTATATTTTTTGTTCGAATTGCCTCCCTATTTGGAGGTACGTTTACCCTCTGTAAGATCAACAGCCTTGGTGATTCCCCTTCAGCTTATGGAACAAGCTGCCTGAGGAAGTACATTCAGCATCCTCTTTGGTTGGCTTTTACAAAATTTGCAAAGCAGTGAGCTATATCTGGCTGAATCCCAAATGGGATTCAGTAATGTTTTGTATTGGCTTGTCTGTTCGGCAGTAATTTGAAATTGTCATGGGCTCCTCTATTAAATTATGGGCTTTTAATGGATTCAATTTTTTTTTGTAAGCTATGTGGGATGTTAAGAGAAGTGGGACAATTAAAAAATAGCTAAATGACACCCAGTTTTCAGGAATGTGACATGGCCTACAGCTCTGGTACACACTTCGTAAATTGCAGGAAGTCACATTCACAGTTGCCATCAATCATAAGAGCCACATTTGTTTCCATCCCTGGCATGAGGCCTACACCACAAAGCTTACTTATTCCTCTGGTGGCAACTGTTTCAACGTGGCAGCCACCTGCCAACCACCTGCCTTGCTCACTTTCTGAAAGATGGGGCAGGTGCCACAATGGCCAACAGCCTTCAGAAAAGCCAGAAATGACACATCAAAGGGCCACTGAATGAATACCATTGGCCTATAGTCACCTGCAAGTATGAAAACCTGTTTGGTTGTCAGGACCTCTTGCATTACAGTCTATTTCTACAGGGTCACCGTTAATTTTTCCATCTTTCACCCTTTTCTTGTAATCTTGTTGTTGCTGCTGTGTCATTTCTCTGAAGTTGTTTCAAGAATTTTTACACCCTTTCTTACCTTGATATCCAAGATGGTGTCAAGGGTAAACTTGGATAAATGGAGGTCAAGTTACTAGAGCTGGGACTAAAATCTACCCTAAAGCTCAATATATATTAACAGTAATGCTGCCACCATCTGCTGAGTAACAGGAAAACCCATTCACTATCAGGGCTATTTGTAGAATCCAGCATTTTGGATTAGCATGGCCTCTTTTGCTTTCAGCCTCGCTTATAACAATTCTTTTAATAGTGTTTCACCACTGTTGCATATATATCACCTGGAACTGCATTACTCAATATCAGAAACATTTACAAAATTCTGAACATTAAAGATTATTTTTCCAAGACATGCTAATTGGGTAAATTAACACTAAGTGAAGTGAATATGCATTCTACCATGCTCATTTTGATTAGAGTACTCAATTTTTCTTCTTCTGTAAAACAAGACTATATACGTTCTGTGCCTAATCCTGTCTCCCTTCCACATTCTGTCCCAAGGACATAGAATAATTTGCTCATGATTATGCAAGTTAACCAAATTTGCATTTAATTGCTTAGAAGTAGAATCAATAATTCATTATAACACCCACGGTTCTGAGGTGTGTGGAGGGGGAAATGAGGAGGGTGGTTGGCCAGGAGCCAAAAATGAGGCTACAAGGGCAGAGACAAGAGATCGGCAGTCACAAAGGGCTGCACAGTTTTAGTTCCATCCTCTGTCTTCCCACGAAGCTTCCAATAGCTGCACCGGCCACTCCCCTCATATTCTAATGGCTTTTCCTACAACAGCATGTGCCGGACAGTTGCTTGGGGGGGAAATGCAGTATTCTACACATACCATTCTTAGGGCTATGCAGAATATATAAACAAATACAAATCCCCCTAATTAAAGTCATGTATGAGTTCAGTAAGATTACAGGATTTTGTTATAAATTATATTAGTGGAAAAAATGGAAAAAAAACCCTAAGATGGCCACTAAATTCAAGGGCAATGGACCATCTCTCTCCTTGTGCATTTACATGCCCAGCAGTTAGTTTTATAGTCACATTCATCAAGCAAACCATTCAACAATTCACTATCCACCTGAAAAGCTCAACATATATGTGTGAAGAGTAGAATGAACTTACTTGAAGAAACTTTACTATTAATTCAATTCCTTCTGAGTCTAGCCTAAAAATAGCACAAAAGACAAAGCAAAATATGTTAGTGTTCAATGTTTATGCACAAATAAGAACCTAAGAAGAGCTGTGCTGTACCAGACTAATGGTCAATTTATTGCAGCATCCTGTCTCACACAGCAACCAACAAGTTCCGCAGGAGGGCCACCAACAGGGCATAGAGGCTCAGACCTTCCCCCTAATGTTGCCTCCTTGCTCTGGGATTCAGAAGTTTAGTGCCTCTGAATGTGGAGAGTTCCCCACAGTCATCATGGTCATGGCTACTAGCCACTGATGGACCTATCCTCCACGAATCCTCCATCAATCTGTCTAATCTCCTTTTAAAGCTGTCTATGCATGTGGCCATCACTACATCCTCTAGGAGCAAAATCCACATTTTAATCACTCACTGTGTAAAGAAGTATTTCCTTTTGTCCGTCCTAAATCCTCTGTCCATAACTATTACTTATTTGTAACATTCATTTCAAAGTAAAATAAAAAAACTGGGCAACACTGCCCTCTGCAATCATATTCCAACACTTCAGTACTGGATGCAAGTAATTTGTCTAACTATGTATTTACAAGAAATAGAGCTCCCTGAGTGAGCAACTCTGCTAATAATGTTATGGGTCTAAAAGACAGACAGGCATGTGCTTAGGCTACATCTCTATCAAGGTCTGCTGAGCAGCCAAAACCCCTTCCATTGGCAGCTGCATCAAAAGGGCTGCCTTTCTCACATGAGGCCACCCTTAGCCTGCTCTTTCACTCGTTGCCTGCATAAGTGCCTCCATTTGCCTGTATCAGGCTAGTATGATGAGTCAAGTGACACAAGAAATATCTGAAAATGCAAAATAAATACATACAAGACTTGTTAAAAGTGTATTGTGAAAAGGCACCCTGTAGAGCTGATATATTCAAGTGCCTACCAAGAACTCTGATGACTCTGGCCACTTCCGCACTGTCATTTTTGTCACTCATTTGTCCCTATTGCTTTGTCCCCCCCCCCCCCACATGTGTTTGCTCCCTCTGGGACTACTAGAGAGAGCAAAACATATTGGGGGGGGGGGGAACTCTGAAGCAATAGGGGCAAACGAGTGACAAAAAGGTCAATGCGGAAGAGGCCAATGAAAAATGGGGGGGGGCGCTATGCTCCATTTTACATGACATTTCAAGGCACCAAATTTGTTCAGAACATGAAGCATTAATATACTACCTACTGTTGCTGCATCTCTCAGCTTAGTGTAAGACATTAATACAGAAGAGCTAAATTCAGATGGGTAGCTGTGTTGGTTTGAAGCAGCAGAACAAGGTGAGTCCAGTGGTACCTTTAAGACTAACAACGTTTTATACTGGGTATAAGCTTTTGTGCGCATGCACAGTTCCTCAGATACCTGAAGACGTGTGTGCACATGAAAGCTTATATCCAGAATAGAACTGTATTGAAGCGCTAAAGTTAGCCTAAAGGTAGCTGACGTATTAATTAGAATTTACTTTGTTATACATAGCTAACTCCATTCATGTGGCCTATGGTTATAGTCACAAACAGTTATGACAACAGCAGAAAACTACAGATGAAACTTCCAGTACCTTGGTGCATGGTTGATTAAAGGCTGTGGCTTGTATTTGGGGAAGTTGTAGTTCCTAAACTCATCACTGGATGTAATACCTGGCCATGTTTCCTGTGATGGAGTTCCTGAGTTGAAAGATTAAACAAATGATGTCCATGTAAGGGAGGACAAATTAGATACAAGCATCAAAATCACACAGTATTTTAATCCAAAGCCCTTTGAAGGAGAGGCAAGCAAACAATTATATTTACTTAGCGTCTGCAAATTATAGATTATTTTTTGTCAACCATTCTTTATATGGTTCCACAACAGAAATACCCCCTTTATGACCAGGTGCATACTGTAATTATACCAGGATGCACATTCGTCCTCTTTAAAAGAGCACGGCAAAGCCTTTAATTTAGTTGTCATTTAATTTTGTTGTAAAGTTAGTGCTAAAGCATAATTTATTTACCTAGAAGTCTGAAAATTAAGTGCAATTCGTCTTCAACAGCTGACCCAGGAAAGAGAGGTCTTCCAGATGCCATTTCAAAAAATATGCATCCAACCCCCCTTCAGAGTGAGAGAGAGAGAGAAATTAAAAATGCAAGTTGGAACCCCCCACCACACATATTTCCATTTCAAACATTTAGCTGCTCATGATTGTGACAATTTGCGCTTATTGCTACTGCTGCTAAGAATGAGTTAACAGGCTCTAATATAAACAGGATCCCATCAGTCTTGCTACTGAAATTCTGAGATTCGAAATATGAAGGCTTACAGGGAATTCATCCATTTAGAAAACAAATTATTCAAGTACTTCCTACAACTAAACCCGAGAGGATTAAAATATCCTTTCCTTCTCCTTTCATTTATGATATTAAATGTCTTTATGATTGTATCGTTGTAGAGTTTAGAAGGTCAAAAATATATAGTAGGCATAATTCAACTGAAAACAAAAATAGATGAATAATAGAGAAAGACATACCACATATCAATTTGTGTTGAATATTCAGAAGATCCCAGAAGAACATCCGGAGGTCTATACCATAATGTGACAACCTCATTGGAGTAGGTCTTTGTAGGGACCGATTTTGCTCTAGCCAAGCCTTTTAAAACAAAGCGCAGTATTAATCTTTTGTAGATCTGGTGATAGACTCACACACACTTTCATTTCACTCACTACAGAAATTCCATATGGTTCAAAAGGTACTACTAAGTTTTTACAAAAATATAATGCCAGCTCTTACAGAGCAAAGTCTTCCATCAGATTTTGAAAGACCAATACTGTCTAGAGTTTAACAGTGTGAATGTGAATAAAGAGCAAAAAGCTGGAGACATTCCCCACTATATTTTGTTTCACATGACAGAGTTAATAACATGTCACTCAAAAGACACAATACGGATATACAATCCACATAAAGTCACTGAGAGTGCAGTGGGAGGAGTCAGGAAAGCAGTATTATTGAGCCACATTTTTAATGTTGTTGAGCTGCAGGGCTTTTTGGATGACACCTCCATACTAGACCCCTTCCATTCCGGCTTCCGACCAGGCCACGGGACAGAGACAGTCCTGGTCGTCCTCACAGATGACCTCCGGAGGCATCTGGATCTAGGTGGTACAGCAGTGTTGTTGTTGTTGTTAGACCTTTCGGCGACGTTCAACACAGTCAACCATCAACTACCGATCCACTGCCTCGCCGACACTGGGATTCAGGGGTTTGCCTTGCAGTGGCTCTCCTCGTTTCTTCAGGGTCAGGGACAAAGGGTGGCTGTTGGGGAGCAGCTATCACGGACTGGGTTGTCACCACTATGTGGATGACACCCAGCTCTATCTGTTGTTGGACGACCAGTCAGACTCTAGTCTGGGAGATCTGGACCTGGTGTTGAAAGGTGTGGCTGGTTGGCTTATACTGAATCAACTGAAATTGAATCCGATGAAGACGGAGGTCCTGGGCCTGAATCGGAGCGGGACAAGGTTAGGGATCCCACTCCTGACCTTCGATGGGGCACTGTTGGTGCCAGCGCCGGAGGTTAGGAGCTTGGGAATGCTCCTGGATGCCTCCCTAACAATGGAGGCCCAGGTAGCAGCCACTGCAAAGTCCGCCTTTTACCATCTACGACTGATTAAGCAGCTGGTTCCCTTCCTTGAACGCAATGACCTGGCAACAGAGGTCCATGCAACAGTCACCTCGAGATTGGATTACTGTAATGCTCTCTACATGGGGCTGTGTCCTTGTCCCAAATCCAGAAGCTGCAGCTGGTGCAGAATGCAGCAGCAAGGCTGTTGCTGTGTCTTCCTGTGCGGGAACACATCCAGCCTGCCCTAAAAGTACTGCACTGGCTGCCTATAGCATACCGGATTCGGTTCAAGGTGCTGGTTCTTACCTTTAAAGCCCTATATAGTCAGGGACCTATCTACCTAAGGGACCGCCTTTCCCCACGTTTCCCAGAGAGCACTAAGATCGGGCTCCCAAAATTGTTTGGCACTTCCAGGCCGAGTCCAGACTGTGGCAGTAATGACCGTCTGGAAGCTGAGAGTATACCGCCATCACTTATAAATACCTACTAATATTTATCAATATTTATTGATATTCATGTTTACTGGCACTTATATGATTTTATATGTTGTGATTTTATGTACTGACATATTGTGTTTTAACTAATTTGCTGTTTTACGTGTGTGTGTGTGTGTATATATGTGTGTGTGTGTGTGTGTGTGTGTATATATAGTCTGTGAGCCACCCTGAGCCTGCTTCGGCGGAGAGGACACAAATTAAATAAATAAATAAATAAATAACACATGGGCCGCTGCAGAGCACATCCATTCCTTTCTAAAGCTATTGGGGCATGCATGTTCCCAACTAAAAGCTGCCTGACACTGACATATATTAAAAGAGATGATGGGCCACAAAGATTATCAAAGACCATTTTGGAGTGCCTACTCCTCTTCAGGCTTCTTTGTTCTTCACTGCAACTGGGCTGCTATTGGCAGCTCTCACACCTGGCAGAAAAATCATGCTTTTATATTGTGTACTTGTTTAAACCGACAAGTCTGTTCCTGTTTTGAAGACTTAAAGGAGCCTTCAGCTGGATTCATTTTTCCCACACAAGCAGCACTCCTGCTGGTAAGAAAGAGCCCATGCTGTGCTCTCCAGAGAATTGCTTAGTAAGAGACCAGCATAAGGCACTGCCCACACTACCTTGATGGAGCATGCACAGAAAGAGTTACTATGAAGAACCCTCTGCATTTTCAAACAATGGAAGAGCATGCAGAGTTTTCTGAAGTGAGTGTGAAAAGAGAGTCAGACAAGGAGAATTTCTGGTGGAGCAGCCTGTATGAAGACCCTCACCAGCAGGGTCCTCTACTGGTGAGGGTCTGAAATCAGTAACAGTTCTGGTTCAGGAAAAGGCCAACTGGCCATCGGGAAATCTGAACATTTTCTTTTCTCCACTTTCTCTCTCTCAGTCTTCCCTCTCTTCCCCTTATTTCTGTACTTTTCTTCAAAAGCTTGTTCTTTGTCAGTCCCTAAAAATTATTGCTTTTAAGCATTTCAAGCATGCTGCAAAATATATTGAAGTGGTAGATGTGGGTAGAGAGCACTATTTAATATAGAATACACATAGAAAGAGCATTATACAAACGCTTTTTAACCAAGCGAGTTCAATACTATTAGCAGAGGGTCTAGATCACTGAAATAGCAGAGAGAGAAAATGTCACAAAGTGTTACGGGTGCTTACTGGGATCGCTCACTTCCTCATCATTAGGGAGGGAGGAACTGACAGCAAAGATATGAGGGATATTAAATTAGAGCTGAGCCAATTTTTTTGTTGTTGAAATTTGCACATTCGCTGAGATAGTCTTTTTCTACAGCAAAAAAAGGAGGAAATTTCAACTATTTGTATGAGTTCTGGGTAGTAATCATAACTCACACACTACCTGTCTTCCACAAGGTACTTTGGGAATTGTGCAGACCCAGAGCTACTCAACAACCTTGGATCAAGAGAGTTCTGTAATCCCCAAGCTTCTTTGACCAAATCTTTGAAAGCTATCCTCCCAATACAAACTAAAAATGCTCAGTCCTGTGTATTATGGACATCTGGCTTGTATACATGCAATTATTCTTAATACCTAATAAAATTTACATCCAAGAATTTTCTTTACAAGTGAATCAACAAAACAGACCATTAACTCCATACCAAAGTCCGCTAGTTTTAATTCCCCTCTTTCATTAATTAGCAGATTTTGTGGTTTTAGGTCTCGATGTAGCACTTTCCTTCTGTGACAGTATGCCAAACCACGCAGAATCTGGTATAAAAATAACTATCAAAGAGAGAAGGGAAGGGGGAGATTAATTCAAATTAGATTTTCAAAAGTGTTAATGAACCTATCTTATGCTCTAAAAGAAATACTTAAATGAATACAAAGGCAAAGTCTACTAAAGCAGTTAGCCATTCTCATGAACCAGATATCCTAATCTTTGTTAGTAATTCTATTAGAGAACTAATAAGTGATTGATTTGAAATAGGTCAATTTCTCTGCGTTCTGTGTTTCCATGCCTCTTCTTACCCTTCCTCGTAATACAGACATCTATTTGAAATGCAGCCACTTTTTTATACTTCCCACCATGCCGCACAAAGCAGATTGCAGGTTAAGCCAGCCATATGAGAGAGAAAACAAAGGGAACCTTTCCAGCTCCACGTATCTTTAATTACATTTGTCATCTCTCCCACCCTGCACGCCCCCTCCCCTGATCATGAGAACTTCCATTGAGATAATTCCTTATTTTCAGTGGGATTTTTTAATATGCCTGGCTAACGACTCAGCAAAAGGAACCACCTGCTGAAAAGGGGAATGAAGCTCTTCACGCAGCAGGTATAATCAAGAAAGGAGCTTCAGCTTATTACAATTCAACAGCTGACTGAGAAACAAACATGCAAAACACCCTGGCGAAGTGCCAGATTATTTATTTATTTTTGCATTGAATTCAACCACAGAATTGCCTGGGAATAAAATGCTTTTGTTGCTTCTCTCAAGGGTTTGCCAACCTATTTTGAAAGCAGTTTGAAAGCTGTTCTTTTTGCAGTGCCTTTTATGGAATCTTGATGGCATCTTTCTTTACAGCAATTCCTACATGTCCTGGGAGATGTCAAACCACAAGGTCTGCATTTGTTGCATTTATGGATATTCTGTGTAGGATATCTTTTCCTTGTATCTAAACTGGGTATTTTTACATCACACAAAGGCAAATATCCCAGTTCTGAATGTAGAACAGCAGCAGCTATAAATCATTTGCAAAGCATTCTTAGAAAATACTCTGCTACTTATGATTCCAAACTTTGTTCTAATCACTATGGATGGGCACATGAACCATAAAAATGGTTCTGCAAACCCCACTGAAAGAGATCGTAGTCCCCTTAATCGGGGTTTGCAGAAAGCCCAAAAAATAGCTGAGCAGTGGGGAGTGTTTGCCTGCCGCTCAGCTGTTTTTGGGGCTGTCTTGTTTAAAGGGACTGCACAAAACAGCCTGAAACAGCTGAGTGGCAGGAAGCAGGCTGCTTTTGTGGCTTTCACAGGGAACATAAAGCAGGGGTTTAAAGGGACTCCGAGTCCCTTTAAATCCCTGCTTTCTGCTCTACCCACAAACCGCCATGAATTGCTTTAGAAGTTCATGATGGTAGACCCACCACAAACTAGAGTTTGTGAACCACAAATAGGGCAAAATTAGTCATGAATTTTGCTTCGTGGTTCAGTTCATGCGCATCCCTACTAATCACCTCAGAGACATGAGCATGGGGTTACGTAATGTTTTAAGTTCACACCTCTATTGAACTACATTAGCTTGAGCAAAAGGGATTTGCCCAAACCACCGAAGGAGCTTCAGACCTGAATCTGCATTTCCCACATCCACTTCCATCACTGTAGCAACTGCACCTTGCCCATAAGCAGCTGTGTAAAGTCCTTAGAAATAATCACCACATTTAGCATTTGCACAACACTTTTTTGAAGAGCTTCATATACATTCATTTGTTGAGCTCTTTATAACTGTTCTGTAAGGTAGGCCAAAAGATCCTTTATAACACAGAGGAAAGAGAGACTGAAAAAATTACTGTTCTAAGATGACATGACACATGTTTTAGCAAAGCTTTGGATCCAGGTTCCACTAGCAAACCCCCCCTGCAAACACAGCTTTTTAAAAAAGTTCTTTGCCTCTGCTACATCTTGATAACCCAGTCAATACACCAATGTCAGACATTACATTCTCTTATGTAACAATGTTAGATCTAAATAAGAAAAAACTAAAAAAACTGTAACAGAACTGTTGCACAAAATGAAACAAAAAGACTTCCAAAAGAAAGGACCTAATGACATTATAAGATTTATTTATTATTATTTATTATTTTAATGACATTATAAGATTTTAACTGGCCCAAGCGAGCCTGATCTCATCAGATCTCAGAAGCGAAGGATGAGAGAACTCCACGGCATACCGGGGTCATGATGTAGGGGCAGGCAATAGAAAACCACCTCTGAATGTCTCTGGCCTAGAAAAAACCCTATGGACTTGATAGCACTTTCCACCACCATCTTTCAAGGAGCTCAGTTCTCCCCTCTTCCATTTTATCTTAACTAAAGCCTTGAAGCAACTTGAAGCATGTCAAATGGGCATCAGTCCTAGTCCAAAATGCTAACCACTACACAACACCACCTCTCATCATGCTGCTCCCTGACTCTGGGCAGCCAACAGCAAACTGGGCACAAAACTGCTGGAATTCTTATGAAAAGCCAGGCCTTGTGCTGCTCTGGCACATTATGTTGTCTCCTATATCTACATCATCAGTTGATCAGCCACCCAATGTTCTTGGCTGGCTTCAGGTACAAAACACATGGCCTATTCAAAGGTTATGTTGTCTACCACATCTACATCACCAATTCATCGGCCACAGATTGGATTTATACCTCACCCTTCACTACCCGAAGGAGTCTCAGAGCGGCTTACAATCCCTTTCCCTTCCCCTCCCCACAACAGACACACTGTGAAGTAGGTTGGGCGGAGAGAGCTTGCTCAAGAACTGCTCTTGAGAGAACAGCTCTGAAAGAACTTATGATTGACCCAAGGTTTCACCAGCAGCTGCATGTGGAGGAGTAGGGAATCAAACCTGGTTCTCCCAGATTAGAGTCTGCGCTCCTAACCACTACACCAAAATCAATCTCTCTCTCTCTCTCTCTCTCTCTCTCTCTCTCTCT